GAAAATGCCAAAATATTCATGATATTTTTGAGTGGAATTGAGAAATCAATATTCTAATAATAGAACTTATTGAAAGGAAAGTCATATATTTTATGAAATTGTCAGTTCATCTTAAGATCTAATAGTCTTTTCAGAGTAGCCCCAGATAAGATATTGCTTAATTCTTTAGTGTATTTGGGTATATAAACTACCTCAAAAGCAGAATTTAACACTTATTTTTGAAGAAAATAAGCAATTGTAAAATTGCCTAGTAAAACTTAGGTAAGTTTACCTTTAATGCTGACTCTTAATTTATGGTTCCAAAAGACAGTGGTAGCAACATAAGTTGTGCTGTTTATTAATATATTCTTTTCATAAATCAGTCCCTTTTTGTTTATAATTAGGTAGAAACAGAAAAGAAAGATGTTCTTGATTTTGGTGACTTGACTTACGGAGGCTGGAAAGCTCTCCCCCTGAAATTGATAAACAGGACGCATGCCACTGTGCCCGTCAGACTGATTATCAATGCTGTAAGTACTAACATACAGCCGGAAACCGTATACGGAATACATTTGGATTTGTAAACACTGTTAAGATCATTCTTGGTTAATTTCTCTTATGAAAGTAAATTTTTTTTAAGGATTTTGTTAACAAATTTAACGTTACAGCTTTACTGAAACTGATTCTGCTATTCCTGAACAGAATGCTGTAGCCTGGCGCTGTTTCACGTTTTCCAAGGAACCCGTGCGTGCTTCTGTGGCAGCTGGTCCTTACGCTGATGTGGGGGCTCAGCTGGCAGGCCCTTCTGTGGTCAGTCACATGATGCCTGCTAGCTACGATAGACAGGTAGGTGGGGTGGGGGGTGGTGAAGAACTGGCTTAGAATTAAAGGAAGTTCAGTTTCCAAACTGCTTGTCTTTTATTAAATTTTCGATCTTAATACCAGTATACATTAACAAATTTTTTTTTTATTTTATAGGATCCAGAATTTCTGATAATTTGGGTTCTTTTCCATAGTCCAAAGAAACGAATTGGTTCTTCAGGTATCATGTCTGTATTTTGTGGGAATTAGTTTTTAGCTAAACAGATTATAAATTTAAAACTTATTTCCTGTGTCAGCAAATGTGAATACTTTTGAGTAATTTGTTAAGTATTTTATGTTGTTTTGAAAATGGGTCAGATGGCATGCTGTTTTGGGTCACACATGTCTGTCTAAGTGTGGGTAACCAGAGCAGGTACCACTGAAAACCTTTTAGGGTTTTTCTCTCTTAATTCATCTTATCACACCTACCAGTTGGATGTTTTCTTTCTTTCTTTTTTTTTTTTTAACTTCTTTTATTTTAGGACCAAACTCTCTTGTGAGTCTTTGTTTAAATTGAATATTCTTTTTTTTTTGGATGTTTTCTTTCTATCTTTCTGCTCATTTCTACTCGTCTTTTGATTCTTTTAAAAATCTTCTTACCTAAATTTTCTTGTTGCCTCTAAGGGCATTGTGTTGGACTTCTAATGGCATTTAGAATTAAATAACTCTCTGGTCTCTGAACTAAAAGAATGAACCTTTATAGAGATTCTAGACCCAGCAGAAGAATTCTTGGCAAGAGTCGATGTAGAAGTTGACAGCCCAAACCCCACACCAGTTCTTAGAAGTGTTGTTCTCCGAGCAAGAGCAGGAATAGCTAGGATACATGCTCCTCGGGACTTACAGGTACCCTCAACTCTCCTCTTTGACGTTATTGTTTTGTGTTCAGGTTGATTTTACTTTAATTATAACAGCTTTTTAAATGTCTGTTTTTCCTACTCCTTTAGAGTATGCATTTTTTGGCCAGTGTGGCTTCCTCAACAAAGCAACACTTACCTTTGAAAAATGCTGGGAATATCGAAGTTTATTTAGATATCAAGGTGAGAATCTCTGTCAGTGTCCTGTGAAACAGTCTTTCCTCAGACTGTGAGAGCTCCTCAGCTGAAGGCTCCTGTGCTGCCCACCCTGTCAGAGTCCCTTGAGGATCAAACAAAATCACCGCGAGCTTTAAAAACTGGATGTTACGCTAGTGTGAAATATATGCTGTGCTACTTTAACTTTGAAGGCTAATGTCTTGAATACAAGGACTAGGTTCTATATTAGTTCCTGAAAAATTTGAGTGTCATCCTGTGGCTAGATAGAATTGGGGAAGAGTGATCCTCACACGTAGACATTATTTCTGAGACCTGTGGGTGAGTGAGAAGGTATTAGTGACCAGGGATTGGAGGTAGAATGGGAGATAAGGTTTGTTATGGAAGAGGAAGAAGAAGAAAATATACTTTCCATAAGAATAAGACAAATTAAGACAGTGACAGACAAGGAGCAAGGGACAAATAATCTGTCCTGGTAAGTGAGAAAGACACACAAGACAAGAGTAACGAGTGAAAGCCGCATTTGCGGAAGTCGGCATTTAATTATGATTATGTCACTAGGTTCCAGAACAAGGAAGTCACTTTTCAGTGGACCCGGAGAATCTATTCCTTAAACCTGGAGAAGAACATGAAGTTATAGTTTCATTTACTCCAAAGGATCCCAAAGCCTATGAGGAAAGGTAATATAAAAATGTTTATTATGACTAGTTTTTACTCATCTCTCAAAACAGCCACTCAGTTATGCTTCAAAATCAATAGCCCAAATGGTAAAGTAAATATATTACTTCATTTAATAAATTATGTGGCTCTACTTAATCTCTTTATTTGAGCTTCAAAGTTTCTTCTTTTTGTTACTAAAAATCTCCTTTTAAACCAGCTAAATAGAAATTAAGAAATCACTATTTTCAAGTATATTCTGACAAAAGTAAATAATAGAATATCGATTTTGATGTTTCTCATTAACTTTTTCAGGCAAGAAAGAGAAAAGAAAGACCTTATCAATTGTCAATTTAAGATAATTTTCCCTATTACTTCTCTAGGCCTGTGACTTTTTTTTTTTTTTCTGGAGAAAGATTCTCACTCTGTGGCCCCGGCTAGAGTTTTTTTTTTTTTTTTGAGACAGAGTCTCACTGTGTTGCCCGGGCTAGAGTGCCGTGGCGTCATCCTCGCTCACAGCAACCTCAGACTCCTGGGCTCAAGCGATCCTCCTGTCTCAGCCTCTTGAGTAGCTGGGACTACAGGCATGCGCCACCATGCCCGGCTAATTTTTTTCTATATATTTTTAGTTGTCCAATTAATTTCTTTCTATTTTTAGTAGAGACGGGGTCTCGCTCTTGCTCAGGCTGGTTTCGAACTCCTGAGCTCAAACAATCCACCGCCTCGGCCTCGGCCTCCCAGAGAGCTAGGATTACAGGTGTGAGCCACCACGCCTGGCCTAGGCCTGTGACTTTTTGACATTCATAAGTAAATATCAGCGTACAGTCATTAGTATTTGAGCTTGCTTGCATAACTCTAGCTTAAAGCACACTCTCCTCTGAGACATACATGGCTTATCCCCCTGCCCGTGTTATAGAATGCTTTCGAGGGCTCAGTCTGCTCTTAGGACCTTGCAGAAGAGAGAAGTCTGGCCTGCACCAGTGTGAATACTTGTGCCTGGAACACTTGCCCTCAGGTTCCTTGGGCTGTGCATTTTATGTAACCAAAATGTTTGTATCCCCATAATGTCCTGAATTCAAAAAAAAAAAAAAAGCTCCTTGGGCTGACTCCTGGGAAACTTTCCTCTTCTCGAATTTCTCATAAATAGTATTCTCCTAGCACCATGACTTCTTATATCCCACCGTGTAGGTGGTATTGTTATCTTCTCTCTCATCTGTATTCTTCTCTGGAGTAGAAGCTGAAAGGGTGGAGATAACATCGTATCCTAGGCACTTAGCTCAGTCTCTTGGACAAAAGAAGCATGTAGGAAATAGTTGCCAAAATAATTGAATATAGGGCATTTAACTTAGATTTCTTTCTTTGTTAGGATCTTGAAAATATTTGTGCAGCCATTTGGACCTCAGTATGAAGTAGTGTTAAAAGGTGAAGTAGTTTCTTCAGGAAGTAAACCTCTGCCACCTGGATCTTGCTATGCAGATATTCCATCGATTTTGTCCAACAAACAGTTTCTGGCTTGGGGAGGTGTTCCTCTTGGTAGAACACAGTAAGTGTCAAAGACTGACAGATAATCAATTATTTGTATATGTATTCGAGGAAAATTTTGTCATACAGACACTATTCAGGCTAAATTATACAGAATTGGAAAAGCTTTCCAGATAGGCTGTGTCCTCGTTCAGCCTTTCCCTTTATCATATATTCCAGTCTCAATTCTATCTTAACTGGCTGCAAAAAGCCATTACACATTTGACCAACAATGCAGGAGCTACTGAAGGGGGAATGTCATCTCAAACTTACTGCCACTCAGTATTTTTCAGAAGCCCAGCTGAAAGGTAGGTTTACAGAGAGCTGTGTAAAGAACATGCAGTCCACCTATTCTTCTGTGTGACCCAAATTATCTCACTCCAGCAACCACATGGTTTTAGCAGAACCCAGAGAAGTGCTTTTGATGCACTGCGCTTGGGTGTCACACTTCAGACCATACCAAAGGCACCTAAAGTGGGGTGTGCGTGGGGGTGGCGCATCCTAGGAAATGGGATGCCATGTTTACTGTTAAATTGTTCTCCTTGGAGACTCACTGTATTATACAGTTTATCTTTCAAAGGACCTCTGGAAGAAACTTATGTCAAAAGTCTGTAGCAGGAGCACTTAGACTTCTCTCAAGCAGTAACTAGGTTTTTTCTTAACTTCTGGGCACGGTGGTTCGTTTGACTGATGATACGACTCTTTTTACAGAAACCCAGCCTCTCCCACCCCCACTTGATAATGCTACTACTTGAAAATTATAACCACCACATTCTTTATAAATTAAAAAAAAAAAATGAAAAATTTACAAAATGATGTTTCATTCGGGTAAGTCTTCCCCAGTCAGTGTACCCGTGGAAGGCTTTTCCCACTGGTGCCAGTAGCTGAAGGGACAGGGCATAGACCACAGCTTAAATAATTTCTTAGTTGCTGATCTTCAAAATTTGAGTAAAATAGAGATTTGCTCCTATATTCTCTATTCTCCAACGAAGAGAGGATTCATATAGTTTGAAAGATTGAAGTGTTTTCTGTCAGCCAGCTGCTATTCGTATGTCCATTGTACTTGCGTTGTAACTTTTTAAAGGTAGGATTAATTCAATATACTTTTTAAATGACTACTTTGTGCAAATGGCCCTCTTAGCCTAGGACCCCTTGTTTCCCTGAAAGCTAGATTGAGCTAAGTATCCCAGTGATATTTTATAAGACAGATAGTATCTATACATATAATAAGGTCAGTTGCAGAACTATAATTGGAAATAGCTTAAACCAGCCTCTGATAAGTTGAGTCTGCATTTTCACTAACATGAGATTTCTAGGACTGGAGAGAGAGAATTCCAGGCTGCTGAGATGGCAGGTGTAGTCAGTCCATTTCTAGACATGGTGGTTGGTTTAAATTGCCTTTGTTTTTATAATTGTAGCAATATCCACGGAGGAAAACCACATTTAAAATATGTAATTGTTTTTAGGCTTCAGAAACTAGCTTTAAGAAATGATTCTACATCTACAACCCAAAATCTACGACTGCTGATTAGAGGACAAGATCAGGACTGCTTTCAGGTTTGTAGAGTGCATGGTCTCTTGTTTTATCTTCTGTTTTGTCTGGGTCCAGAACACTTACATCTGCAGACCATTTGTGTTATTTATCTTTTAAGAGCTTGTGTTAATGGTATGTTTTATTTGTGCTACTGCTTTGTCTTATGCAGTGATTGTTTTTAAATTATAGCTCCAGAACACTTTTGGTTCCGAAGAGCGATTGACCAGTAACTGTGAGATCAGAATTCATCCAAAAGAAGACATCATCATCTCTGTATTATTTGCACCTACTCGATTGTCTTGTATGTTGGCTAAACTAGAAATCAAACAACTTGGAAATCAATCACAACCAGGCATTAAGTTCACAGTAAGATAATTTTATTGCTTTTTTCCCCTCCCCTCGAGTTTATGACATGTTATAACTATTGGTTTAATGTTGGTAAATT